CTTATTGTTATAGGTTGGAAATGTCCTTCTTCAATTAAAACACACGTGCAGCATTATTCTGGCTGCCATACATCTCCTTGACTGTCTCCCATAGCTTGAATGATGATTCAAAATAACTGAATATTTTAGCTAGTTTACGTTCCATGGAATTTAGGAGCCATGACATAACTAGTTGATCCTTGCAAAGCCAGGTTTCATATGTTGGTGAGGAAGCATTAGGAACTTCGATGCTTCCATTTATGAACCCTAGCTTGGACCTTCCACCTAGGGCAAGACTCACTGCTCTCGACCAAGGTAAGTAATTAAACTCATTTAACAAGACCGAGCTTAATCTTTGATTTGGGTTGACATCCACCTCAGACAAAGTTAAGGAGGAAAGTATCTGGGAATTTTCCGCCTCAGACGAAGAAGAATTTTCTTCCGCCATATCGGAGATGGAGTACGATCAGATGGTGGGAGTGCAGAAGCAGGTTATTTTTCCTGCTCAGATACCATATTGATGTTTTGATGTCTATTTCATATCATTAACTGTTACAAGATCAAAAATACATATAGAGGAAGAGACGGGAAAGTAGAAGGGAAAACGAGAGGTGGAGGACAATGACAGCCCAAGCACTCATGGTGACAGCCAAAGCACTCCAAAGCACTCATGGTGACAGCCAAAGCACACATGGTGATGGCCTCCACCCTACCTAACTTAAGCCACTAACTTAACTTTACAATTATGAGGGAACATTATCACTTTAATTATACTAGCACTAAGACTAGACAAAAGCTTGCATTATTCTTCCAACATTTAACCCTACTTCCAATAATAACTTCCAATATTTTCCTTGTGTGCAAATGTCATCTACTGCAAGATGCACATTATGCCCTGTGTCCAACATTTTATCTAAAATGAAAAGAAAAACACTTGCTCATCTTTCTTCGTGGTTTGTCCTATCAGATGCATCTGAAAAAAACTGAACTAAATTGGGGATGACGTTTTCGAATTATAGAAGGCATTGCTCAAGGAGTACTTTATATCCACAAGTACTCGAGATTGAAAATCATCCACAGGGACCTAAAAGCAAGTAACATATTGTTGGATGAAGGCTTGAATCCCAAAATTTCAGACTTTGGAATGGCAAGGATTTTCGGGATAAATCAGATTGAAGCAAATACAAATAGGGTTGTTGGCACATAGTAAGTCTACGTATATCTGGTACATGTTTTCATTGAAGTAATGTTCTATTGCTTACTTCTCTACATACTGTCAATTCATGAGTAGCGGCTACATGTCACCCGAGTATGCGAGATATGGTCATTTCTCTGAGAAATTAGATGTATTCAGCTTTGGAGTGTTGTTGTTGGAGATTGTAAGCAGAAAGAATGCTGTTTTTTATCGCTTTGAACATTCACCAACTCTTGCTGGATGGGTAAGTACTGAAAAATGATTCTAAAACTCATGGTCATCCTTTCTTTAAGCCTTCCAAATTCGCAAATGACCGTAAACTCAACATTTTAATCAGGGATGGGAGTTGTGGAAAGAAGGAAGAGGAATGGAGGTGATTGATGAATCAGTAAGGGAAACATGCCAGCTCTATGAAGCTTTGAGGTGTATCCATGTAGGGTTTTTGTGTGTTCAAGAAGCTCCAGCTGATCGACCAACAATGTCTTCGGTAATTCGTATGTTGCAGGGCAATGAATCTACATCTCTTCCACCTTCCAAAGAACCTGCCTTTTCAACACACAGAAATTCCAGTCATGTTCGCTCTTCTCAAACGCCTACCATTTATTCCCACAATGCAGTCACCATGAGTTTGCCAGAAGGTCGATAGGCGTTGGAAGAGCAATGACTGGCAAGCAGTTGAGAAAATAATATAGTATATTAGAATAAACATCCCGACAACTAGCAGTTTTATACAAACACTTCGGGTTCAATTACACATTACTCGAGCTGTTTGTGCATTTTATGGTTTTTGCCCATCCAAACTAAACCTATAATAGCAGCATATTAAATTTATGTTGTATTTTTTAGCTGCAAATGTGGGTGTAACCGTACTTCTAGATATGTTCCCGCCACACCTCTTGGTGCAACCGTATTTATATTAAATTAAAATGGAATGTCACTTGTATCAAAAGAATAAAGAGGAGATTTTTTTTACATATTCCAACTTTCAGAAGACAAAAACTAAAAACAAAATTGTTCTAGAACAAAGGATTTACATTAGTATAACCATAATTGACAACATGGGTTTTCCTATGGTTGGAATAGAAAATTTGACAATCATCATATAGAATCTACCGAATGCAAGTTTGGCAACTAGAACTACAAGTAAACTATGTGCCCGATCAGTTTTCTCGTCGACGAAGATTCGAACTTGATGCCTCTTTCAACATTGAAAAACAAAATATCACTAGAACACTTGATGAGCCTGATCATGTTAAACTCAAGTTTTATTGATGAGAGTATGGGCTGGTGATGATGAGCTCTCGGCAAGCAGCGGGGCTGCTTGGCCTCCAAGAATAAATGGATTCGAACATGCACCAGTCTGCTCAAACTATAGAGGAACTGAATGCACCCTGCAGATCAAGTGTCAATAATCAATCAATTAAACAAACAGTTAGTGAATATCACTTCGATCTAGAAAATTTAAGGACCTTGAATAGTTTCACTTACAAGCTACAACAACAAAACAAATCAACATAAGAGTGGATCAACCAACGAATGCACCATTCTAGTTGAGTCCGATTACCACCAATGTAAGAGTCAATTTTGTTACAATTAGCACCAGTAAGGACATCAGTTTAATCTCGAACAAAGCTCCGCTGCCAGTTTCGGCATTATTGTTCTCCCCAACCTTGAAACCCATGATTGTGCTGATTCTTTATCGGGACCAGGCCAAAAAACACAAACAGAGAAAGAAAAAAAAAGGATTAAACTTGTGTTTGAGAGAGAAAACATGAGTATGGTATATAAAAATGTTGTAGGCAAGGTAGGTAGCATTGTTTCTTGTTACTTTTTTCTACCTGATTTGGCTTCCCGTATATTTTGGGTCCCTACGATTGTGAAGTTACCCATTTTGATGCAAAATGGAGGCAGGGTACTTATGCTTCTTGTTTGGAGAGATAGTTTAATTAAATGTGTCATGTATCAAAAAAGGTTTACTTTTAAAAAACATAAACAAAGTTCATTGAGTGAGTGACGCCACTAAAACTACGCATACAATGCAAAAGAGAACCTCTTGTTTGTTTGGCAGGTAATTCCTGTTTCAATCAACAGAGAGATAATGTGACTTAGTAAACATTGGGTAGATCATGCTTATAGGAGTGGTATTGTTCATTGCTCGTTGGCCATCTTGCTTTATTCCCTGATTTTCAAAAATATTATTGTGGGACAGAAACATCAGGTTAATTATTGTGTGTGTCATTATTATGTTAATTTTGATAAAATTTAATGTATATATGAGTTAGACAAAACAACGACGATAATTGATAACACTACGTAATACTCTAACTATGAACATTAAAACATTTCCCTAATATCACGCCGTTCTTCACGTTTTGCATCCACACACAAGCAATCGTGAAAGACGACAACAATTGATTTTGAACGTAAATGATGAAACTGATGACTCAAGGATAAACTGCAGAATAATGGATCACACATAGGCAATCTGTATAGTACCACGTGTCGAAAAAGTCAGCTGAAGGATGCAGCCTACCAACAGGCTACAGGGACATGTAATCACGTTACTGTCCGAAGGGAAGCAGTGGGACCAACTCAGTTTCCTCATCGAGCAAAATAACTGAAGTTAACAAGTGTCACGCGTCCGTTAGATAATGACTTATTTTATTTTATTTTTGTTAATTAATGAATAATACAGTTGCTCCGCAACTCACTCTCCTCTTGTTGAGTGATTTGAGGAAGCAGTCTCTTCTCTTCTCACTTGATCAGCCTCTCAATTCTGGTCAACTTTTCCCCAAGGACGATCTTATCCTTCTTCACCAGAGCTTCAAGGGCTTTCAATGGCCACCCTGTAGCCTCCAAGCTTCTGGTGCTCTGTACTATCAGGTTCTCAATTTTCTTGCTTACCATGATAATTTCTTTTCGATCGGTTTGGCATGAGGTGAAGCCTCACATGACCTAAATTTTTTAATATATATACGGAGTGTACACATATATTATATTAAAAAAGAAGAAGATTATTAATCAATAATCATCCCGAGCACACACATATATTATAAATACATATACACATATATATTATATTATATATATAAAATAGAGGATGAAAAGTATAATGAGCACACATATAACAATGCACGTAGACGGCACATACATTCATTATATAAAAAATAAAAATCAGAAAACAAGGCAGAGAGATGATAGTGCAAGGAAGATGTGTGAGGTAGTTAAAACCTTACCCAAAATTTGGGTTTGGGAGTAATAATAAAAAAAAATTAAAAATAAAATTCTCTTGAGGAGCGCCTAGGCGGCGCCTTCCGCCCACTCCCTGAAAACAGAGGCGGCATCCCTCAAGCCCAGCCTCACAGGGCGCCTAGGCGCGCCCTGAGGCGAGCCTTTTAAAACATTGGAGAAAATGCATGACCAGAAAATGAGTTAGTGTTAAGCGATTACGGGAGTTACCATTGTCATATCTCAAATTATTATTATATTGAATATACAGTTTCTACAGTTAGGTTGAAATATTTTCTATCATAGCATATAAAGACACATTCTTTTTTGGTTTTGGTTATATCTCAATGAAGTATCATTTTCTGAAGGCAAGTCCGGTTTATTGAATTTTTAGGTGTCAATGATGTTACAATCCGACGTGTTTGAGGCGTAGAGGAAGTGAGAACCTGCTTTTGTGCAGGGAGAACCTACTCGTGGAAACTATGATCCCTTGACAGATTCGATGTACCTGAATCATCGTAGTCGTAGTTTTAGGTTGTGTGTTTTTGTTGTGTCTTGTGTTAAAATGTGTTTTTGAGTTTCAACTATACTCTTATACTTTTTCAATCAGGTGTAGGGTCTGAAATAACTCATAAATTGAAGTGTTGTCTATCAGCTTCATCTCTTGTTACTGGTGGAGACCGGAGTCAAACAACAACACTGCACCTAATCACACTAATCTTGTTTCATTTACGGTTTTGTGATTCATGTTAAATTTCATTTAATTTGGATTGATGCTGCTAATCTTTTTGTTGTCGAAGGATTTAAACAAGATGATGATTGGTGGAGAAAAATGGCATGGGGAAATCATTACCTTAGATTAATCATGTCTGGATGGGTACAGTTTGTAGGAATTCAGACCAAAAACAGAGACATGGAAATGAATAAACTTTTTGGTAATGGGAGTCTTAAAAGTTTCAACATATCTTTGTTTTTGTGATTACTTTTGTTAGTTAGACTTGTATGGATTGGAAAAGATTATGAGAATTAACAACATTTAAGCTCAAAACCTCTTGAACCGAAGGAATCATGATCGTAGGTAACCTTATTGAAATAACACATGAACCATAATTTATAGTAAGCATGAATGCTTAGTTTGGTACATTAGCTTGCAGTTGAAGCAATCTAACTTGAATGTCCTAATCCTAACTCATACCTCCATGTCTTCTCGGGTTTAGGATATGTGATGCCTCAAGGGTTTACACATTGTAGACTGTAGAGCATTGACGAATTTGAACAGAACCGTTATACTACCAGAATCTTTGACAGAGGAAGAACAATGTTCAAGCCCTTTCCATACATTGAATTTTCTATAAGTCGTTGTCGGTCCATATGCCAGCTAATGAACCGTAAGAATTGACTTAGTTGACTTACTGATCACCATGAAAAGGGCATGTAGGTTAAGTTCCAGTAACATGCATACGGTAAATCTTTGCCTGCCTGCTGAATGCTTTGTGCAGCCATGGATACCACACCAAACTCAGAGTTTGTGTTCTCCATTATTTTATTATGTGCATTTCTCGAGTTCCATGTTTCCCTAGCAGCTGATACCATCAGCGAAAACCAATCTCTCTCGGGTGATCAAATTATTGTCTCCGCAGGTGGGATTTTTGAGCTCAGTTTCTTCAAACCAGGTAACTCTTCAAACTTCTACATAGGCATGTAGTACACCAAACAAGTAGTATCCGAGAGGACCATTGTTTGGGTGGCAAACAGGGAAAAACCAGTTTCCGATAAATTTTCTTCAGTTTTAATGATTTCAGATGGTAATTTAGTCCTGTTCAACGAGTCCAAATCCCCTGTTTGGTCAATTTAACCTCCTCCTCCGCCACTGCACTTCTTTTGGATACCGGAAACTTCTCGGTGTCCAGTAATAGTTTATCAGAGCCGTTATGGAAATCCTTTGATAATCCAATGCATACTTGGCTGCCAGGAGCTAGAATTGGGTTTAACACTGTTATCCAACAAACCCAAATATTTACTTCACGGAAGAGTTCAAAGGATCCTGCACAGGGTCTTTTCTCGCTTGAGTTGGACCGAACGGAAGCAATGCGTATCTTCCCATACTGTGGATCCTACAGTATTGGATATGCATTGCTTCCGTGACGCATACTTCACCTACCCTCTTTATGATCCAAAGATATTTTCTTGATTCGTGACGCATACTTCGGGGAAAATTCAACAGTTGTCATTGTGGGACATACCGTGGAATTTGGTTTGGTCCCAACGGAGAAAACAATGCGAAGCTTATGATTTGTGCGGTGAGCACCCTCGCCTATAATTGCTTGAACGGTTTTGAGCCGAAGGCGAAGAGAGACTGGGATTTAAAGGACTACCCTGGTGGGTGTTCAAGAAAAAAAAGATCTGCAGCTGAGGCAATCTAACTCGAACATTTCCTAATCCTATAGCTCCATCTCTTCTTGTGTTCGATACGTGAATCCTCAAGGGTTTACACATTGTAGAGCATTGATGAAGTTGAATAGAACCGTAATACATTGAATTTTCTACAAAGACGGTAAGATCCCACATTGCCCAGGGAAATGATCCTTATATGTATATTCTCATCCCTACCTAGCATGAGGTCTTTTGGGAGCTCACTGGCTTCAGGTTCCATTGGAACTTCGAAGTTAAGCGAGTAGCGCGCGAGATCAATCCCATGATGGGCGACTGGGAAGTTCTCGTGTGAGTTCACAGAAACAAAACCATGAGGACGTGGTAGGGATCCAAAACGGACAATATCGTATTACGGTGGTGGAGCGGGCCCGAAATGTGATGGACCCCCGGGCCGGGATGTGACAAAGACTTTGTTCATATGCCAGCTAATGACAGAATGTGAAGGGTTGAATAGTTGATTTAGTTGACTTGCAATGACCACCATGAAAAGGGCATATAGGTTGAGTACAGTAACATGCACACGGTAAATCTTTGCCCACCTGCTGAATTCTTTGTGCAGCCATGGATACCAAACCAAACTCAGAGTTCGTGTTCTCCATTATTTTATTATGTGTATTTCTCAAGTCCAATGTTTACCTAGCAGCTGACACTATCGGTGAAAACCAATCTCTATCTGGCCATCAAACCATTGTGTCTGCAGGTGGGATTTTTGAGTTAGGTTTCTTCAAACCTGGTCAGCTTTCAAACTACTATATAGGCATATGGTACTCCAAGCAAGTAGTATCTGAGATGACCGTTGTTTGGGTAGCAAATAGGGAAATACCAGTATCTGATAGATTTTCTTCGGTCTTGAGCATCTTAGATGGTAATTTAGTTCTCTTGAACCAGTCCAAAACCCTGGTTTGGTCAACAAATTTAAACTCCACCACCACTTCTGGTTCTTTACAAGCAGTTCTTTTGGATAGTGGAAACTTTGTCTTGAGAGCGGGGTCTAGTAACAATACATCAGAGCCTTTATGGCAAAGCTTTGATCATCCAACCCATACTTGGCTACCAAGAGGTAGACTTGGATTCAACAAAATTACAAATCATACCCAAACTCTCACTTCATGGAAGAATTCGGAAAATCCTGCACCAGGTCTTTACTCTCTTGAGCTAGCCCCGGACGAAAGCAGTTCATATATCTTATTGTGGAATAGGTCTAAACAGTATTGGATCAGTGCACCATGGAATGAAAGTTCACATATTTTCAAGGTGGCTCCTGAAAATCAAATGTTCAATTATAGTTATGTTACGAATGAGAACGAAAGGTATTTCACCTATTCTCTTTACGATCTAAAAACTGTATCTCGATGCTCCTTGTCTGTCTCGGGCCAGATTCAGCAACTAACATGGTTGGAGAAGCAGTGGACTTTGCTTTGGTCTCTACCATTACAACAGTGTGATGTTTATGCTTTTTGTGGGGCTTTCTCTAGTTGCAATCCCACATCCTTGGACAACTGCAAATGTTTGAAGGGCTTTGAGCCAAACCGGCAGAGTGATTGGGACTTGCAGATTTATTCTGGTGGGTGTTCAAGAAGAACCAGTATGCAGTGTGGGAATGCTGCTAGTGCGAATGGGACGGGTGATGGGTTATTGGGAGACGAGTTTCTAGAAATACATAGTATTTCATTGCCTGAAAATAACCAATATGGATACGCTCTTGGTATCGAAAGTTGTAGATCAGCCTGTTTAAATGAATGCCATTGCACTGCTTATGCTTATGAAAGCAACAGTTATTGTTCAATATGGCATGGAGATGTTTTTCTGCCAGAGCTTGTAGCAAGTGACGGTGGTGGAAGAACTTTATACATCAGAGCTGCAGCTTCTGACATTAAGAAAAAACGTAATAAGAGAGTGATTATTCATGTCTTACTTGGAGCCGTTAATCTTAATGTTGTCCCAGTGATTTTTTTCTTTTCTTTGCAGGTTTAATTAAGCCGTCCCTTGTGATTGCAATTGTCACAACAGTCACAGGTTTGCTTCTTGTCATTTTTGGCTATTTCTTATGGAAGAAGACAGTGGGAAAGAAAAGAGAGCAAAGGAATAGATATGGTGAGACTAAAAGTAAATTTGCTGCTGGAGGTGAAAACAACGATGCAGAACTGCCGATCTTTGGTTTAAGGGCTATAATAGCTGCTACAAACAACTTCGCTGAAGCTAATAAACTCGGAGAGGGAGGATTTGGCCCTGTCTACAAGGTGACACTTCCACTGTGTACTCTAAATACTAAAACATTTTTCTCCTCATGCACACTTCTTGTGTATTTATGACCTTTGGATTGAATAATTCCAATGAGATGAATCACGGGGCAAAGTACACATGGGTGTGCAGAAGGACAAAAAAGAGTGTTCGAAAATAATTTCTCCTTTCAGAAACATGACCGTTCCTTTTTACTTCTCTTACAATTTCTTCTCTTGTGCGATTTTCTTCCTCTATGCAGGGAATTTTGGCTGAAAATCAAGAAGTAGCCATAAAAAGGTTATCAAAAAAGTCAGGTCAAGGACAACAGGAGTTCATGAATGAGTTAAAACTTATTGCCAAGCTCCAACATACCAATCTCGTTAGGCTCTTGGGTTGCTGTCTTGAAGAGGAGGAAATGATATTGATCTACGAGTACATGCCCAATCGGAGCTTGGACAAACTTTTGTTTGGTATATATATGCTAATGACTTATGATTTTTTCTGCAAATATATTGCTTTCCTTGTGTTTAAATGCCGTGTACTGCAAGATCAAATGCACTGTGTCCAACATTTTATCTAAAATGAAAAGAAAAACATTTGCTCATTTTTCTTCATGGTTTGTCCAATCAGATGCATCTGAAAAAAGAGAATTAGATTGGGGAAGACGTTTTCGAATTATAGAAGGCATTGCTCAAGGAGTACTTTATATCCACAAGTACTCTAGATTGAAAATCATCCACAGGGACCTAAAAGCAAGTAACATACTGTTGGATAGAGCCTTGAATCCCAAAATTTCAGACTTTGGAATGGCAAGGATTTTCGGGATAAACCAGACTGAAGCAAATACCAATAGGGTTGTTGGCACATAGTAAGTCTACATATACCTGGCACATGTTTTCATTCAAGTAATGTTCTATTGCTTACTTCTATACATACTGTCAATTCATGTGCAGCGGTTACATGTCACCTGAATATGCAAGATATGGTCATTTCTCTGAGAAATTAGATGTATTCAGCTTCGGAGTGTTATTGTTGGAGATTGTAAGCGGAAAGAAAAATGCTGCTTTTTATCGCTTTGAACATTCACCAACTCTTGCTGGATGGGTAAGTACTTAAAAATTATTCTTGCTCACAATCATTCTGTCTTTAAGCCTTCCAAATTCGCAAATGACCGTAAATTCAACATTTTAATTAGGCATGGGAGTTGTGGAAAGAAGGAAGAGGAATGGAGGTGATCGATGAATCGGTAAGGGAAACGTGCCACCTCGATGAAGCTTTGAAGTGTATCCATGTAGGGTTTTTGTGTGTTCAAGAAGCTCCAGCTGATCGACCAACAATGTCTTCGGTAATTCATATGTTGCAGGGCAATGAATCTACGTCTCTTCCACCTTCCAAAGAACCTACCTTTTCAACACACAGACATTCCAATCCTGTTCGCTCTTCTGAAATGCCTACCATTTTTTCTCACAACTCAGTCACCATGAGTTTGCCAGAAGGTCGGTAGGGGTTGAAAGAACAGTGGCTAGCAAGCAGTTGAGAAAATAGTGTATTAAATTAGAAAAAAAGACATTGCGACAAATATGTTTATACGAACACTTCAAGGGTTCAATTGGAGAAATAAAAGTCCCCTCAGCTGTGAGGTTGAGTCTCTTAGAAAGCATACACCGAAAGAGAAATGAATTACTGGTGTTTGTGTTTAATGGTTTATGCCCATCTAGACTAAACCTATAATAGCACCAGATTAAACTTATGTTAAAGTGTTTTTCAGCTGCAAATATGGGCATAGCCATATTTCAAGTTATGTTCCCACCCCACCCCTTGGTGCAAACCAATTTATATTAATATAAAATAGAATGTTGTTTGTATGAAAAGAAAAAAGAGGAGATTTTTTTACATTTTTCAACTTTCAAAAGACAAAAAATAAGAACAAAATTAGTATAGAACAAAGGATTTTACATTAGTATATCCATAATTGAAGGATTTAAGCCCTTTCCATACATTGATTTTTTCTACAAAGACTTGGTCCATATGGCAGCTAATAAACAATCTGTGAAGGTTGAATAGTTGACTTAGTTGACTTGCAAGCAGGCGAGAATATCTATCTATATATGGTTAAGCGAGAGTCTCACGGATGGCGACAAAATTTTGGAGTCACCCCATTCAAAACCTGTCCAAAATAATATATCAAATCATGCAATGATAATTTGGTAATTTAGTCATAATAAAATATAAAGTAATGGGTTGTTGGACAAAAAAATAAGATTAAAAAAATGTAAGGAGTTCCATCCCTCTCCCCCCCCCCCGGCGCGTCTCATCTCTCATCCCTCATTAGAGGTGGGCACTTAGAACCAAAAACCAAACTAAAACACGAACCAAATCGAACCGCACCGAACGGTTTGGGTTTGCGGTTTTTGAACGGTTTCGGTTTTGAAACCGAACCGCAACATAGAAAACAGTTTGGTTTCGGTTTTGACTTTTGAAAACTGCACCGAAACCGAACCGCACCACAAATATTAATAAACATTTAATTAAATGTCCATATTAAATTTCATGTTTTAATTGGTTGTTTATTAAAATCCATGCACTTAGTACGGACTCAACCACACTAGAATATCATTATTCATCACTTTCTTTCGTTCATTAACTTGAAGGACCTTTGTTATTTTATACCATCACACACACACACACACACACACACACATATATGTACAAGGGTGGACTAATCTTGTTATCAAGAGTCGAACAATGATCTAATGAAGTCCACTCATTTGAAGCATGATATCACATATTCTAGTATAAAAGTTTCGCTCACGTTTAATGAATTCAAAGTTATTCAATTTGTATTATGTTATACCTTGTACGGGACATCCTTTTGTTGCACAAACATGTTTTAACATCACAACTGCATGCAACATGCTAATTGTTTATATAACAAATGTCTTTTTCCTATTGCTACTGGGAAATGCTTATTAATATGTTAAATTGCAAATTGTACATTTTTTTCTTAAAAACCAAACCAAAACAGTTTGAAACCGCACCGCACCGCACCGAACTAAACGATTTGGTTTCATTTCGATTTTGGCTTCAAAACCGCACCGAACCAAACCACAAAAAATTTCGATTTCGGTTTCGGTTTCACTCAAAACCACACCGAACTAAACCGTGTCCACCCATATCCCTCACGTCTCTCTCTCTCCTCATTTTCATTGTTTTCCTCTTGCCCTTCTTTCTCTCTATAAAAAAAAGTTTTCGCATGTTGATAATAATGTGATTAAATTAATTGTCAAATGATTAATTTTTTTTTTTAACAAACAACATTATCTATACTAAGGAGGAGGGGGTAAACTTAACCTCACAATGGGCTAGCAATAATGTGATTCAATTAGTTGTTCATTCAATATTATTTTCTCTATTTTTAAACACGTTCAAAACATCTTAAGAGGCGTGTAATGCCGGTTATAAAAAAGATTTTTCGCATGCGGATAATAATGTGATTAAATTAGTTGTCAAATAATTTTGTTTTTAACAAACGATATTATGTAAGAGAGAGGGGGTGGGCTTTAGCTTCACAATAGACTAGCAATAATGTGATTTAATCAATTGTTCATTAAATATTATTTTCTCTATTCTTATTGTAAATTCTATAGAGACCGATTTTATTATGTGAATTCAACTACTTTAATTGATTTATGAGAGATTTCTTCTAGCATGATCTAAGATTATTTATTACGTCAAATATTTGACTTTCATTTTGTCAATTTATGCATATAAATGCATTTAAAACGTGTAAGTTGTGCGTACCACGTCGTGATTTAAAAAATATCTTCTACACACGCTCACGCGCGTTCATGAAGGCTAGTAATGTATTAAATTAGAATAGAACTACCATGATAACTATAAGTTTTATACAAGCATTTAAAGGGTTAAATTGGAATGCACCCCGCAGAAACTTCAAAGAAATAAAGTTTATCTAGAAAGAAAATGATGCGTATACCAAACGGAGTAAAAATATGATGACGGTGTTCAAATAGTTAATACACTAGAAAATGTACCCGCGTGTTGCTACGGGATTTGAAGCATTGTTGAAGATGTGGAAAGTGCTAAAACATATATGCTAAGAAGTGGGGTTTATATACGTGTTACATCCATATGTTAATCAAGTGTTATTTACATTCGTATATTACATTACAAAAATTGGTGATGCTCAAGAAAAACAAATTGGGGATGCTCAAGGACTTTTTCGTAACCTATGGCTCTATCTCGTCCTAAATTGCATATGTTTACAACTATATAAAGTTAAAAAAATCCAGTTTTAATCCACTGAAGACATCCAAATCCATAACTCCATTAATGGTATCTCCCTCCTTTGTTTTGTACGACAACATTGAACTAAAAAATCAAAAAGGAGGAAATTAAAAACAGAATTTGATCACTCAGTGAATTGAATCACCTTAAATTGCATATAAATTGAATTTGAATTAAATTGAATGAAAGTATACAGACGAAGGGAAAGTTGTCATAACTTTACCATGCAAGATTTTACCATGCCCGATTTCATTTGCATGTCCCAAAATCAATTTACGAAATTAAGGTTGGGGTTTTCATATTCTCTATTGGGTAATGAAAGTCACGTGAAAAGTTCAGAAATAACCAAACCAAAATCCAATTTAGTACACCTAAGAAAAACATTAGCAAGAAACTATTTCCAACTCATCATTTATTTATCAAACACAGTAATACAGTCATAGAAACACTCTTAACTCACTCACCAAAATTGAATTAATTAAATTGGATGTTGGGGTCAAGTCAAAACGACGGTCGGAGGGGCCAGACATTTTCAAAGGTGTTGAAGAGAAAAGAGGTCGGACAAATCAAGATCTTAGAAATGCAAGAAGGGAGCTTCTACTGGTGGAGATTCAAGTGTGCTTTGGAACTTAATACTAGCCTCTATAAAAATCCGCACTCGATGGAGCTTCAGAAATCGAAGAGGCGCCTGCTCAGAAATCGAAAAGGCGTTTGCTTTCTCAAAAGCTGGGCTGCTCAGAGACCACGATGGCCGATCTCAGGAATCGAAGAGGCGTTTGCTTTCTCAAAAGCTGGGCTGCTCAAAGACCACGAAGGTCGATTGCAGAAATCGAAGAGGCGCTTGCTTTCTCAAAAGCTGGGCTGCTCAGAGACCACGAGGGCCGATCTCAGAAATCGAAGAGGCACCTGCTTTTTCAACCTTATCAGCACCTGTCACATGCACACTCAACTTTGCGGAAATTACGGGCATTCTGTCGAAGATTTCTAGTGAAGTAGAAAGCACGTGAATGTTACTGTTCAATCATTCACTTTCCACACGCAACATCAGCTCACGGGTACCACAGATAACTTTGCCAAAAATCTCTGACAAAGTTTAGACACGTGAAGCTTGCAGCTCCCATTACATCGCTATGACCAAGAAGGGTAAAAGAATAGCAAAGAAGCAGCACTAACAAAGTTTAGACACATAAATTTTGAAGGTCTAGCTATCATATTACCCACAAAGGTAAAGGAACAGGACCATTGCTGGATAATTGGAAAGTCCCTGTGGGTCAACCTCTGTGCTCCGTGGCAAGGTAGACTAGCAAACAGGCCTAACCTTTACTCACATTCGAGAAAACACTCCCAACAAGATTGCTTGCTTCAAGATCGAAGAGGCACCGTCCTCCGAATCTCGAGAGCCAGACTCCCAACATGATTACTTTCTCAAAAAGCGACGAGACACCGCTCTCCGAATCTCGAGAGCCAGACTCCTAGCAGGATTGCTTTCTCAAAAATCGAAGAGGCACCGTTCTCCGAATCTCGAGAGACAGATCCCCGACAGGATTGCTTGTTCGAAAACCGAAGAGGCACCGCTTTCTCAACTTCGAGAGCCCCTTAGATAAAGCTTGTTTGTAATCCTCACACCGCTTTCTCAACTTCGAGAGCCAGATCTCTTTGGATAAAGCTTGTCTGTAATCTTCACACGTAACATCAGCTTTCCAGATACCACACACCACTTTTTCAAAGTGCTCTGACAAAGTTAAAACACGTGAAGCTGGCAGCTCCCACTACCGTGCTATGACCAAGCAGGGTAAAAGAATAATATTACTCATTGTTAGGGAGACTCCTATATATGTCGACATCCATCCTCAACGGACAAGCAGACCTGCAAAAATGCTCAACCCTTCCTCATATCTGAGAGGGCATTCCCAACGAAGCCTTTCGAAATACTCAGCTTTCTTTCCCCCCGAGAATACCTCTGCAAACAAGCTACACTAGAGCAAGAATATCTCATATCATCAGGGTTAAAAGCAAGAGTATCCCATATCATGCTTTTTCTCTGTCTTTTCCTTTGGCCTTGTTCTTACCTGCAAGACAAGGAGAAAGAGAGCAATCAGTCAGCACTTGGAATCAAGCTTCCAGTCCGGAACTAACTGCCTGGAACCCCATTGCTCTCGAGTACTCATCTTCAACATCTTATGCTTCCCGAGAAGATACCACATCTGCCTGAGGAACAAATAGGGCAAGTGAGAAGGATACAAGGAAGCATGTGGAGACAAGCGCAACAGAACACGTGCCGATACATCCACTACTTTGTCAACAGCAAAAGTATCCCATATCAGCAGGGTCGAACGTACTCTAGATTTGATGGACTTGTTTTGACTCTCAAATTCTTCAGTCGGCCTTATACTCTGGCGGAAACAAGAAAACCTTCCAGCCCAGTTCAAGAATAAGCCTGTGGAAAGTTACTTCTTCAAAAGTAAAAGTATCTCATATCACCTTTTCTCCTTTTCTTCTCTTTATCCTTCATGCTACCTGCAAGATAAGGAGAAGGATAACAATCAGCCGGAACTCGAAATCAAACTTCTGATCAGGGACTGATTGCTTGAAGCTCTGATTGCTTACCTTGTCTGTCACCTCTTTCAGCAGATCCCCTAGCTCGGCGACTTGGGGGTCTCCTACTACATGGTTTGTATGGCGCTTGACCAAGCCTGAAACTACAAGTAAGCATCAAGTGAAATTGATACATTACCTTGTGCATCTCCACCAGTTAAAGATACCACCCCTGGAGGGAGGAAGAGTACTTCCAAAGAAGATGCCACATCTACCTATGAGACAGATAAGGCAAGTGAAGACGATACCACACTTCGGTACTTAAAAGTTTCGTGATTACGAGATCATTCTTCCACAATATTTCCTAATGTCATTTGTACTAAATCATTCACTTGTACTCACTAAAGGAGAGCTTGAACCTATATACTGTGTAAACCCTTCACAATTAATGAGAACTCCTTTACTCCGTGGACGTAGCCAATCTGGGTGAACCACGTACATCTTATGTTTGCTTCCTGTCTCTATCCATTTACATACTTATCCACACTAATGACCGAAGCAATCTAGCGAAGATCACAAACTTAATATTTAAGATGATATTCTTTGGTGTATGCTTTTCACAAACGATATAGTGTTGATAGATGAAACGCAGGAAGGGGTAAACGCGAAGCTTAACCTTTGGAGAGAAGTGTTGAAATCTAAAGGTCCTCGCCTAAGCCGATCAAAGACAGAATATATGGAGTGCAAGTTCAGTGCAAACGGAGGCCAAAATGAGTTAGGGGTGAGGATCGGAGATCAGGAAATACCAAAGAGCGACCGTTTTCGCTACCTAGGATCTATCTTGCAAAAGAACAGAAAATTTGATGGAGATCTCACCCATAAAATACAAGCTGGATGGATGAAGTGGAAGAGTGCATTCGGCGTGTTGTGTGACCGTCGTAGGCCACTGAAGCTCAAGGGAAAATTTTATAGGACGGCAATAAGGCCGGCAATGCTGTATGGCATAGAATGTTGGGCGGTGAAGCATCAACACATAGGTGTAGTGGAGATGAGGATGCTTCGTTGGATGTGTGGGCACACGAGAAATGATAAGATTAGGAATGAGGATATCCGAGGTAAAGTAGGAGTAGCCGAAATTGAAGGAAAGAAGAGAGAAAATCGGTTACGGTGGTTTGGACATGTGCAAAGAATGCCTACTGACGCTCCGGTTCGAAGATGTGACCACGGGACAGAGGTTCAGGGCCGAAGGGGTAGAGGAAGACCTAGGAAAACTTTGGAAGAGACCCTAAGAAAAGACTTAGAGTACTTGGATCTAACGGAGGACATGACACAAAATCGAGCGCAATGGCGTTCTAGGATTCATATAGCCGACCTCACTTAGTGGGAAAATGCTTTGTTGTTGTTGTTGTTGTGGATGTTGGGGTCAAAATTTTATGTCCGCCTAAGGATATTTGAGACTAAAAATTTAACTCTACTCAGTTTAGCTTCCAAGTCATTTTTATTTTCGGTCTTCAGATTTAGACTAAATATTTAACATTACTTAGTGTAGTTTCAAATTTAACTTTCCCTTGAGCGCTTGTCTACTGGATTTATCTTCTATAGCCTTTTGTTTGCAATTTGAATTACATGACTCAAAATACAGCCCAAATAGAACACAAATGGCCCTTAGAAAACAAAATGCGAAATATTTACTAATCACTATTCATGGTTTTGGTCAAAGAACTCAAATTTCAGAGATACAAAACAGAGCAGCTCGTATAAATCATTTATAAAGGTTACCTCTTTTTGGTTGAAAAATTGAAGGGTGACGCCAATTCTTCTTCAGCTTCCACCTCCTTGTGGAACTTGACCCGCCAGTCACATTTGCACGTGAACCTGAAATCAACAACCAGTCAGTACCTTTGGCAAGCTCATGGGGGTATGACAACATGTATAGGAATATTATTGCAACTCTATTAAACGAAGAAGTATTCAGTTGAGGATGTCGATGAGGGAGGGAAGAAGAAGAAAAGAAATGCTAGTTGAGGAACAAAAGAATTTTGATGCTGCGTTCGGTTTGTATGTATGGTCTAAGAATTTACAAACTGCCTATATGATTCACTCGCTTCTGTGTCTTCATCAAATCTATTTCTTTTTTACTACCTCTTCTTTCATGAAGGTATAATCGTCACATTATTTTCTAACATAAAATATACACCTAACAGACGTTTAATACATTGCCCATAAGTTAACTGAGGTGGGTTTTGCTTGAGTAGTTGGTGACCTTCACAGTCGGCCAATTGCGGCTGACATGTGATTGATCGTATAAGGATATCTATTTAAAATAGTTAAGGGACTTCAAGGATGCCTCTAGATTTATTCTGGTTAGAAGATCGGGTTGAGTAACAAGTTTTGACTCCAACGGATATTTTGCATAGAAGACTTCAGAAAATGTGATTCGCAAAATGATGTCAGATTTCAAAATTTAAGGCATGTTTTAAGTGCACTAAGATATCTCGAAACGTATCCTGATGTGATACTATAATTTCATGGAAGGAAGAAGAAAGAATAGTCTAAAATTTTCCTGTCCAATAACTCCATCACCATCATCTCCAATCAGAGCAATGATATCCTCAATAGACAGAATTGTTTTATTTTGGGTACTTATCTAAACACACAAAAATTAAACATTTTCTCATCCAATTCACATATAAAATGGTCCAAAAGTGCATGCAGTGGTTGAGTAGAAACTAATGTTACTTTGAATTGATGAAGTGTTTATCCTCTAGAAGATCTACATATCTATTATAAACCAATCTTTAGTCTTGCAGAAAGTGATATGCTGACTCCAAATTCCCATAATATTAAAATTGATTTACAGTACAATCTGCAAATGTAGTTAAATTTAATGCTTCCCATCATTGCCATTGTTGCAAATCAAATCGTATGTGCAGATTTATGGTACAACACATGATCGAATTAGATAGTTGTATGAATACATGTTTGTTCTTTCCCTTTCAACTTGTTTGGATCCTCACTTTTCTCAAACAAAAGATTAGACTCTTATGACTTCTTAGCATAGGGCTTAGAAGGTTTAACCACTCGCAAAACCACTAATAACATCTCTCAAACCATTCATTGTGCATATTCATGCCATTTTAATATTGAACCTTATAGGAATCTAAGCTCATCAAAGCGTAACTCCGACAAAATATACATAGCAAATCGACACTTAATTTCGCATGATACTTTTTTTGAGGAAAAACAACGAAGAAAGCCATTGGGTTACCATCGTCAAGCGCTCTCATTTGCCTTGAAATGGGGGTACCATAGACACATATCCAAACCAGACGCAACGACTCGTATTCTCTGAATGCATTGGTTTATCAAACACAAACACACAGCCCTAAGATCATGTAGTAAGATTTGGATTTTTCTTACGCATGCATACAGTACAAATGTAATATAGTTATTTGAAAAAAATACTCCAGCTCATCACTTGTAGCCATGACGCCTTGTTAAAATTATTAAAAAACTGGAATAACAGTAAAGAAATTGGCAAAAAATCAAACCTACTAGTCATTGGTGACCTTCATATGATAAGCAACCACCCATACCGCAGCCTCTGACGCCTATCCCAAAAATATGGACCTATAATATTCATTCCCACCGGCACCAAAACCACCATAGTCGTCTCATCCCTCCAAGCCGCAGAGCTATTCTTGAAAACCCATTACAACATTTTCCTAGCCGCCCCCTTTACTGCAACAAACCTCATCAAAATGCCTAATAACTGTTCCGGATGGCACACACCAAATTTTATCATGAGAAAAAAGCAACCCCAGACCCAAATTAAGCATTTCATAAATCCTATTTACTGGAAAGATCTTTTTTTTTTTTGAAGGGAGGTCACCAATGCTATCATAGGGCATGAGCAGAGAGCGGTTCCAAAACTGCAAACAAAAGCCCCCAAAAGAAAAATCAAAATCACCCACATACCCAATCGGAGGCTACAAATTAAAAACAAAAACAAAACAAAAAGAAAATTTGAACAGAAAAACCATTTGTAAATCCAAAGAATTTCCATGTCCAGTGCATTCTTTCTAATAATTGACACAAAAGAAATAAATATACAGCCCTAAACCCTAAATCAGTGGAAGCAAACAGAGAAGGTCAGGTCCTCGAGAGAAAAAAAAATGAAAACCGAAAGGAAATTCGCTATTTACATTTATACCAAAATTATGAACTTGAATTTAATCTTATTTGAACACATCCTTGAGCAATCTTACCTCAAAGCACATCACCCAGTTAAGTTCTATAGCATGTGTGGCCTGATCAGCCAACTGCGCGTGCCCCACCGTCGAGATTACCACGTCGACTTGCTCGATCGCCTTCACCAAGCTCTCATAATCGTACAGATCACCCTGTAAATTATAAATAATAAAAAAAACCACTCAAATCAAGCAAAACCCAATTGGCTAATCGGATCAAAAAGCTACAAAATGCTGGAAATTTTACAAACCAGGACAAAATTGAAGCCCAGATCCTTGAGGTTCTCGAGGAATTTGGACTTTGCCGGGTTATAGAGGGTAGTTCTCGGACCAGAAAGTAGGTGGGGTGGCCGGCCTTGGCGCTGGCCTATGCGATGAACTTTTCAGTGCCGCCAATGAAGAGGAATTTGGACTTGGATGCCATCGGGAATGGGATTGGGGGGAATCAGAATGGGATGAGTTGGAGAGAGATAGCGAGTGATTCGATTCGAAGTGGAGGATGAAGGAAGAGGTGGAGGGTCAGTGAGGAGGAGCTTGAGCTCCATTTGCAGTCGGAGGCTGAGAGAGCAATGAAAAACGTAGTAGCAATCCCAGAGGAGATCGAAATGAAAGCACACCTGGAGAGTTCGAGAGACATCCACCGTCAACACGTGGATAACAGCGGCATACATGAAATAACAGAAGATGAAAAAGGGCAAAAACGGAAGAACATTGTAAAAGTAACAGTGTTTTGAGTCCATAAGGACATCATGGGAATTTACCTGAAAGTTTCTCTTTTAGTACGAGAGCTACAAGACTTACCATATTATCTTATTTTTCTCACCCACGTTATATTTTCATCTATCTTAAAAAGTTAAAAAATTAATGTTATTTTCTCGCTCACTATTATTCCCAAAATAACCTTTAATATATATGTACATATGAAATTATAAAATTGTCTCTTAAAAAATATAAGAAATAATATGTAAATGAAAATTACTAAAGTCTGCAAATTCAAATAGAAACGACAGAGGTATCCAAATTCAAAATATTTCGACAACGACAAATTTAAAAATACGATAGGCAAATTCAAATGACCTACACACAAAATTATTCTTCTACCTTTTCAATGGAAACATAATCTTCGACCTCTTCTGTTTAAGCTTCATTTTCTACATATTCAATGAAAAAGTCATCTTCTAAGTCTATTGCTATTTTTTTTTTTTTTACTTTCTCTGAATGAAATGAGATGAAAATATGAGTTAAGGTTTAAGGTAGACAAATTGTCTCCCATACCCAACTTGTTTTTTTTTTTTTTTTTAAATTAAGCAAAACAAGATAATTAATGTCCTTATTAATCTTTTTGTAAATGGACAAATTTGTAATTAAAAAATTCATTAAAAGGTGAGTGGAAAAATAAGATATTGAGGTAAGAATAACATCACTCTTTAGTGTATATATATAATATAATATAATTTTACTGTCAGAATCATTGAAAAGTGAAGGAACAAAAGTTCAACATTTTCGATCCTAATACGTTTGACTGAGTAGTCCGGAAAGTTACATTTAAATCTTGCATACATGGATATAATGAATGTTTCAATGGTAATATCTTATATAATAATCGTATCACTAAGTGGGACGTAACATTATATCTGGACCCATATTCATGCCCTTTTCTATAGCTTTTATTTGACAAATAAAAAATAAAAAAAAATAAAAAATAAAAAAACCTTCTACGAAGACATGGTCGTAATGGCAGCTACGTACTGATCAATATTAAATAGCAAGAAAAACAAGATTTTCGTTGTCAAGGTTCATTTACCCTTGACCCTTTTATAGTTGACTTGGAATTCATACAGTATAGTTTAAATTCTAGCTTCTCTTTTTTTTGTGCAGCAATGGATACCAAACCAATCTTATTGTTCGAGTTCTCCGTTATTTTATTATGTGCATTTTGGAAGTCTCACATCTCCCTTGCAGCTGAACACTATCAGCGAAAACCAATCTCTCTCGGGCGATCAAACCATTGTCTTTGCAGGTGGGATGTTTGAGCTAGGTTTCTTCACTAGTACAAAAAATACTTTGCGCGACGTAGGACCGTCGTCGCGCAAAGTCAAAAATACGTCGCCCAAAAATTAGCCAAACGAACCTTCGTCGCGCAAAGTATTTAGGGTTTAGGGTTTAGGGTTTGCGCGACGTAGGTAGGCACTGCGTCGCGCAAAGTATCTTTGCGCGACGCAGGATCTACGTCGCGCAAAGCTACTTTGCGCGACGTAATGCCTACCTACGTCGCGCAAAGTTTTATTTATTTAATTTTTTTTTTGTCATTTATATTTATTTTTTTAATTTTTAATAAATATCATAATTACATTCTAAAAAATAATTAATAAACCAAGAAAAAGTAAATAATTATAGAATATATGAAAATGTATGTTTGTCCGAACAAAAAAATAAAAAACTACAAGTCTTCTAAGTTTAATACATCATGCTACTCGGTATCGTCGGGGCAAAATGGCTGGGAAGTCGAAGGTGGAGCAACATTAGGTGCTGGCATCGTCGGGATTTGGAGGCCGGACATCGCTAAGGCCTGAACAATCATATTCATCCTCTCGTCCTGGGCCCTAATATGGTCGCCCTGGGCCGCAACCTGACCTCTTAGGGTTGTCACTTCCTCCTTCAAGGAATTGACCTCTCCTGTGGACAATCTGGAAGAAGAGGCACCCGTTTCACGAAGAGGAAGGATCAAATTAGTTAAACCGTGGCAGTATGTGTATTTTGTGAGCAAAAATGTACACAAAGAGGAAGATTCACTGCGGTCCTTTTTTGGATTTGCTGCTCATTACATATTTTGTCCGCCTAAAAGGGCTTTAACTTTGAACAAATTTTGGAGAACTCAAGTCCAAACCATTTACCTCAGCAGTATGGTCCTTCACAATGTGCCTACAGTTATAGTTCCCATCATCAGAGCCTTGCCATATGCGAACTGTCTGCAACATTAAAGGGGAAAAATGATGATACAACATCAAAAGATGGAGTACACTAGGTTGAATATCTGATTGGTTACACCCTTACAACCTATGCAATAACATCTAAATTGCATGCATGTAAAGTTCTTTATTGACTCCAATTTATCCTCTTTTTTTCCTGATCTCCTTTTTGTGTTTGGGTCAGGGAGGTTGATCACCACCCCCAGTTGCATAAAAAGTAACTTTAGAATATAAATTTAAATCCGTGTAGATCCACATAGATGTACATAAAAAGTCCCAAGGTTAAACTTGTAACTGTGAGGTAGGCAGAGTTTAGCGGTGGCCAAGTTAATAATGAATGACAAACAAAGCTAATGACAACTCCAGTAAATAGAGAAGATAAAATAGTAATGAAGATTACAGCATTTGTATCAACCCCTCCAGTTGCAATGAGATTCTGCGAGAATAAAGCCAAAAAGTAATACTTGATCAGCAAAATGGAAACATAACTGAGTTCAATGACATAAAATACACAGGACAGACACACAAGGATTTATGACTTTGTCCTTAATCCATAATCCCGTATATACCATGAAGACAAAAGATCAGTGTAAAGTGTGGATTAAGGTAGGAAAAGCATGCAAAAGATCTAAATTCTCATCAAATACCATTACGCAAAAGAACACTAAAACAAGAGAGCTTCAAGGCTCAATAAATTCTAGATTTGTTCCTACTAAATTCGTTTTCTTCATTTCAAGACATTTGGTTTAGGATCATCCCTAAACCTAAAACTGTAGATATATGAACATTAAAGATCAAAATGCACTTCTAATAGTACAAAGGCAGTATTGAAGAGCAAAATCATGCAACATCCAGTACGAACCTAAGAGTCTTTCACTGGAGTCAAATACCCATATGGAAGTGATGCTTAAACAAAATGATATAATAGCAGAGGTAAACACAATCTCATACCTTGTTAGACTGAATATCAATCGATAAAATTCCTGGTTTGCTTGTTCTATGAAGAGAATGACTAGATATCTGAGTATACCTCTCCAACGCATCAACTGGAGCTAATGTTGGGGATATCTGAACACCAAAGCAACATACAGATAAAAGCAATAACTATCAGAACTTATCAAATAAATTCTGTGAAAACAGCTGAACTTCACTAGCAGCTTTTCTCAAGAAAAGATTATGTGATAAACCCAATTCCCTGCACAAAACCAAATAAAACCCAATTCACTAAAACCAATTCCTAATGAGCAGCAAACCCAATTCCCTGCACAAACGCATTAACATTAACCATATTTAATGAAAGATAATGTGATACTACAGATGATACACATTGGCTAGTAGGAATAGGTTTGAAAAATCGAAAACCCAAAAAAATCGAACCGAAGCCAAAGAAAAACGGAATACCAAACCCACCCTTTGGTTATGGAAATCTCAACTCGGTTCAAAAGTCATAGGATGTAGTTAACTATGATTTACGGCTACTAAGTCAGGTTCATTAGTTTTGACCTTAAATATTTCTTAGATTCATACAACTTATAACTCAAATGAACGCATGAAATTTCAACCAATCATCTATAAACATACATAACACCAGCCATCAATCATCAATCTACAAATGCAATTCAAATTTTAGGAAAACCCTAAATGGTGGCAACAGAACAATCATCAATCTACAAATTCTAATTTAAAAACCCTAAAATCCCTACACCAGAAATTCACATTAATAACAAAACCTTAAATCAAAATTACCTAAATTTTAGATGGATGACAGCGGGGGTGTTGTCGAAGAGGAGAGAATCGACGGCGGGGGTGATGGGGTGATGGCTGGTGAGCACTACGAGGAGGAGGACGATTCAGAGTTGGAGAGTCGAGGGAAGGGAGTCGAGGGACTGAGAGTCTGAGAGTGATTCTGGTACTCGGGTGGAATTGGTTGAGGAGGATAGTCGGCTGGAGTGAGAGAGATGAGAGACCGAAAGGCTTTTGGTTTGGGAAGAGAGATCGAGTGAGAGAGATGAGAGAGTGGAAGGCTTTTGGTTTGGAAAATTTGGGATTTTTTTTTTAAAAAAAAGCGCCTATTTTTCATAATTGCCCCGCCAAAATAATGACAAATAGCTCGACGCAGGTATACATTTCGACGTCGCGCAAGATTTTTTTTTTTTTTTTTCAAATATAAATTTTACCGAAAATTTACTTAATAAATATATATACCTTTGAACTTGATGGAATACGCATTGTACGAAACTAATTTCAACAATCCAACCGTCAAAATTGTTTGTATATATTCCGATATCGCATACGCCAAAAATTGGAAAAAAAAAACATCCAAATATCAAGTAACATGACAAAACCTTTTGACGGTTATAAACGAAAAATCACGATTTAACGGTTATTTTTAACTCCAATTTGTTGAGTTTTTCCAACTATACTCCTTTAGCCTATATGAATACAACGAACCAATTCGATCGTCAATTTAAAATATTTACACAAGCGGATACCACAAAATGTTATGTTAAACTTAATGATAGTATAAATAAACTCCAAGTGTTAGGAAATATATCGTTTTGATGAAATACGCATTCTACGAAACTAATTTCAACGATCCAACCATCAAATTTGTTTGTATATATTCCAAGATCGTATACGCCAAAACCTGGAAAAAAACAAACATCCAGATATCAAGTAACGAGACAAAACCTTTCGACGGTTATAAACGAAAAACACGATTTAACGGTTATTTTAACTCCGATTTTGATGATTTTTTAGAGCTACACTCCTTGAGCCTATATGAATACAACGAACCGATTCGATCCTCAATTTAAAATATTTACACAAGCGGATACCACAAAATGTTATGTGTAAACTTAATGATAGTATAAATAAACTCTAAGTGTTAGGGAATCTATCGTTTTAATGAGATACGCATTGTACGAAACTAATTTCAATGATCCAACCGTCAAACTTGTTTGTATATATTCCGATATCGCATACGCCAAAAATTGAGAAAAACAAACATTCAGATATTAAGTAACGGGACAAACCTTTTCGACGGTTATAAACAAAAAAGCACGATTTAACGGTAGTTTTAACTCCGATTTTGATGATTTTTTAGAGCTACATTCCTTGAGCCTATATGAATACAACGAACCGATTCGATCCTCAATTTAAAATATTTACACAAGCGGATACCACAAAATGTTATGTTAAACTTAATGATAGTATAAATAAACTCCAAGTGTTAGGGAATCTATCGTTTTGATGAAATACGCATTGTACGAAACTAATTTCAACGATCCAACCATCAAACTTGTTTGTATATATTCCGAGATCGCATACGCCAAAAATTGAGAAAAAAAAACATTCAGATATCAAGTAACGGGACAAACCTTTTCGACGGTTATAAACAAAAAAGCATGATTTAACGGTAGTTTTAACTCCGATTTTGATGACTTTTTAGAGCTACACTCCTTGAGCCTATATGAATACAACGAACCGATTCGATCCTCAATTTAAAATATTTACACAAACGGATACCACAAAATGTTATGTTAAACTTAATGATAGTATAAATAAACTCTAAGTGTTAGGGAATCTATCGTTTTAATGGGATACGCATTGTACGAAACTAGTTTTAACGATCCAACCGTCAAACTTATTTGTACATGCTTCGAGATTGCGTCCGCCAAAAATTGCAAAAAACAAACATTCAGAGATCAAGTAACGGGACAAAACTTTTCAACGGTTATAAATGAAAAAGCACAATTTAACGGTAGTTTTAACTCTGATTTTGATGATTTTTTATAGCTACACTCCTTAATCCTATATGAATACAATAAACTAATTTGATCATCAATTTAAAACATTTACACAAGTGGATACCACAAAAGAAAAAGGCAATACAAGAACCCAAAAAAAAAAAAAAAAACTTTGCGCGACGTAGGTCCACCTGCGTCGCGCAAAGCTATTATGCGCGACGCATGTGTACCTACGTCGCGCAAAGTTTTTTTTTTTTTTTTTTTTTTTTTTTTGCTTTTGCTTATGAGTACAAAATAAATAAATTAAAATGTACTTACTAAATATATATACCATTGAATTTGATGGGAAACGCATTGTACGAAATTAGTTTCAACGAGCCAATGGTTCGGATTTCGGGTTAAGAAATCTGAATGGAATTTAGATGGAGGAGATCTCTGCAATGTTACTGGTATCAGAATGTGTGTGTGTATATTGCATTATAATATAACGTTGATGCAAGAAATGGAAAATTGATACTTGAAGGGAGTTCTAATGTAAGTCGTATATTAGATTCTCAAATCAAAGCAAAGCTGCTAATCCAGGACTCCATCCAACCTTTTGGGCAGATTTGAAAGCAAGAGTTCCACCAAAAGTAAAAGTTTTGGCTTGGACTGGCTCACTGGAGGATACATGTGATATGATCCAGGAAATTGCCTTTTGTGTGTGTTTCACCTCACTGATGCATTTTGTGCAACAAAGAGGGCGAAAGGAGTGTGGATCATATGTTTACAACTATGTGGTGGAGATTGTATGGGGTTGACAATGTAAATTAGGTCGGAGTTCTGTTTCTTTGCTCCCTGAGAAACAAAGGTAAGGGTAAGAAAGAAATGGTCTCCTGCAGTGCATGGTGTTAGTAGTAATTCAGATGGAAGGCGGATATTTGAGCAAAGTGAAGGTGTGGAGTTGAGGAACTTTGGGAGAAAATCAAATTTTGGTTGTTACTTCGGGGCTTTGGTTGCTGGAGAGTTCAAAAAGTTGTCCCTTTTCTAGCAATTATTTGGACTGGGGAGATCTTGTTGATGATTAGAATTACGAAATTCCTTTGTTGTTATTCATAGATCCAAAATAAAAACTAGTTGTGTTAACTAATGTGGGAATTGGGGAGAGCAAGACATACAAAATAATAACATTGTTTCTAACGATTACAGATTTAGGCATTATGGCTATTCCTAGTAATTCAAACTTCAAACCTGATCTGGTAGACGATTTTGAAGAGAGAGATGGGCGATGGAGGTAGTTGCTGCAACTGGGTATGCAGTTTCTGCCTCCCAAACTGATCAAATGAAAAGAAAAAAAAGTTTGTGACTTTGCGCGACGCATGTCCACCTACGTCGCGCAAAACAACTTTGCGCGACGTAGGTGGGCATGCGTCGCGCAAAGGTGGGAAAAAGCGGTAAATTCTAAGGGTTTGGCGCCAAAAGTTTGCGCGACGACGGACTACGTCGCGCAAAGCCGTTTTGCACGACGTAGGTGTACGTACGTCGCGCAAAGCCGTTTTGGGCGACGTAGTTCTTCGTCGCGCAAAGTAACGTCGCGCAAAGCTGTTTTGCACGACGTAGGGGTACGTACGTCGCGCAAAACGTCTTTGCGCGACGTAATTTAATGCGTCGCGCAAGTTTTCGTCGCGCAAACATGTTTTTGTACTAGTGCTTCAAACCAGGTCAGCTTTCAAACTACTATATAGGTATATGGTACTCCAAGCAAGTAGCATCTGAGAGCAAGTGGTATCTGAGAGGACTGTTGTTTGGGTAGCAAATAGGGAAATACCAGTGATAGGGATTTTACCACGCACGTAACAGTTTTAAAAACTCATATAATACTTGCAAAAATGACAAAGATATTGTAGTATAAATAGTTTCCACATGGATTATTAAATAATTCGAAACAAACCAAATTTCAATTCATTATTGTAAAACAAAAATTGTGATGATTGATTTTCATGACCTAATGTAATAAAACGAATTTAATTAATAAAAGTAAATCAATCTGCAATATTAAAAATTGAATTTTAACGAAAAGCTTATTGTACAGTTCACTTTAACGAAAAATCACATTTTTACACTAAAAAGTCAATCCTAATACTATTCACTTCACCATTTATTTTGTTATTATCGTTAAAACTCAAAGTTTTCAAGCTCTTTTTATTAGTTTTCCTTATTAAAAATGAGAAAAAATGAAATAGTTTTGTAGAAATCAAATTAAGAAAGCATTAAGGATCCGCCATCACATCTAAACATGCATGACTCATTAAGTTTTGTGAAACTTTTTAAAAAAATCATACAACCCTTAACACGTAGTATTCATCCTAAATGCACCTGCACATATTAATCACAAGAAATTTTCGTCAAAAACTCAAGATAAAAAAACAATACAAACCGTGGGCCTCAAAAACTCAAAATAAAAAACAATCATTTACTTTTTGTTTTCTTTCTTTTTCTATTTCTTTTCTCTTTTTTTTTCCTGTTTTTTTCATTCTTCCTCATGGGGCTTTCAAAACACGCGCAAGTGCAAATGGGAAGGGTTCAAATTGATTTCAGTAAGATTGGTTTGTAGCAATGATTTTAAGAGAGGTGTTCCCGTCGATTTAGCAGTAGAAGCAGCTAATCGACAACTGGGTTGGTGTCGGTATTGCAGCAACAATGATTCGATGTCGGTTCGTGAGCTACAAGGCACGCGAGCTTCGATTTGGGTGCGATGCAGCAGTGGATCATGATAGATACGGATCGGTGCGGTGGACTCGGGTCAGCAACGACGGCGTCGCTCGCTGGTCGGACGGCGTAGCACAACTGGTGCGCGACTAGGAGTTTTGTTCTGCGCATAGGGAACGGCTTTTGGTTTTTTTCTTAACCTAGGCTCTGGTGCCAAGAAGAGAATGCTTTGAATGATGTGTTTATCTTCTCAGGAAAAGGTAGAATATACAATCTTAATTCTAACTAAATAGGGAAGAATAATTACAGAAGATTACAAAGATATTTCTCTCATATTACTCATATTACACGGGGATCCATCTTAAAGAGGAAATTCTAAATTATAGGAATTATAAGTCAACAAACAAACCAACGTAAGAGTGTGGATCAACCGACGAATGCACCATTCTAACAACGTTAATATCATCAATTTGAGTCTAATTACCATCAATGTAAGAGTCAGTTTGATTACAATTAGCATCAGTAAGGACATCAGTTTAATCTCGAACAAAGCTCCACTGCCAGTTTCGGCATTATTGATCTCCACAACCTTGAAACCCATGATTGTGCTGATTCTTTATCGGGACGAGCCCAAAAACACAAACAGAAAAAGAAAAAGAAAAAAGAAAATCAGTTAAACTTGTTTTTGAGAGAGACAACATGAGTATGGTATATATACGGAGGACGTACATAAAAAATGCGTCCGTTTTCGACGAATTCAGACATCGGAAAGCGTCCTCCCTCTGACGCCGCCGTCGCCGTCAAGTGTTGCAGTTTAGCCTCGCTTTACTCCACGGCTTATCTGTGTCAAATCGACCGCTACATCTCCCACAAAAACCCTAAATCTTTTCATCAATTTTCAGTAGCGTACGATCCGATGCGCCTCGACACACCTTAAGCCTGTTTTTGAACAATCTCCGAAAACAGAGCTAGTCATGGAGGCGCAGATCCTACTGCGGTGTCAAACGTGGGGGTTTTTCTCTTCTCATAGTTTTGCCACTAAAAACGTCCACTAAATTTTCAGAATTTGGATTTTTTTTTTTTTTATGTATTTTGATATTGTTTTGTGAATTTTTGGCAATGAATACAAATTATCCGCGCTTCTGAGAGCAATCGATGAAGTAGAATGTGATAATCAATGGTTGAATTTCTTGATATGAGCCATTTAAGTTTTTGATTTGCTGATTTGGGTCGGTGACATTTTTGGGTTTTGTTGATTAATGTTGGCGGTGATGACTAAATTTTACAGCTTTATGCCAGTTCTGCTTCAGAAAATTCGTGATTGAGAGAGCTGTTTCATACTCTGAGCCTTCTGTTTATTAATTTGATTTTGTTTTTCTTTAGTGTTATGGATTTCTGTGTTTTTGGTGGTGCCGATGACGATTCAATCCGCTTGTTCGAGGTGCAGTGGAATTGAGACCCTGTTTACAGGGAGAACCCCTCAGTGAAACTGCGTTCATATGAATTCAATGGATTTAGCTGAGGTTTTAATCTTACTTACCCTCCTAGTAAAATGTTTTTGTGTTACTTGTTTGGTTTGTTGTCTGTCTAAGATTAGATTTGTTGTTTGGTATGTTATTAATTGCTTGTGATTGGTGTGTTAAATTTTGGTGATATCTTCTTGTCCTTTGGCCTGTGATGATTCAATCCGCTTTTTTGAGGTGTAGTGGAGCTGAGACCTTGTTTACAAGGAGAACCCCTCGGCGAAGCTACATTGCATATGACATTAATGGATTTAACTGAGGTTTTAAGTCTTCATCAGCATCAAAATCCATTGTTTTTGTCCTAATTGCTTGTGTTGTTGAATATGGTTTATTATTTTGTTCGGATTAAGTAATGTTTAGGCGTCAATGATGTTACAATCCAACGTGTTTGAGGCGTAGCGGAAGCGAGAACTTGCATTTGTGCAGGTAGAACCTACTCATGGAAACTACGATCCCTTGACAGAAACAATGTAGCTGAGGCATTGCAGTCATGTGGTTTTGTTGTGTATTGTGTTTAAATGTTGGTTTTGAGTTTCAACTATACCCTTATGGGTCTGAAATAACTCATAAATTAGAGTGTTGTCATCAGCTTCATCCTGTGTTACTGGTCAAGACTGGAGTTAAACAACAACACTACATCTAATTGCACTAATTTTGTTTCATTTATTTTGTGATTTGTGTTAAATTTTATCTAATTTTTTGTTGGAATCGACTCTTGTGATGAATTGATATGTATGCTCAATAGCTGCTGCTGGATACTTCTATTAACTGAATTGGGGTTAAGTAATTAATATAGTGATAATAATTTCTAAAACCTACAGGCCTCACCCTGTCTCCATGGGGGAGTACCCTAAAAAAAGGAACCCTTCCTCTCCCAGCCGTTTTCAGGGTCGTCCGTGAATTCTTTGTCAATGGTTTTGGTTTTTGAATTGCCCGCTAAATGGACTCCTTCCTATCTGTTGTTCCCAGCTGATCTTTTTGTTGTTGGAGGATTTAGATTTTGTAGTGAGTAATTAGTTTGCAGGAGTACCAAGTGGTACAAACAAGCATGGAAACAAGAGGATGATTGGTGGAGAAAATGGCGCGTGGAAATCATGACCTTGGATTCGTCATGTGTGGATGGGTTTATGTTGTACCGTCTTTTGATTGGAATTCAGACCAAAAAACAGACGTGTGGTAAATTGGAATTTGAAAATTATCAACGTATCTCTGTTTTTGTATCAATTTTTGTTGGTAAAACTTGTATGGATTGGAAAAGATTATGATAATTTGTATCGAGCATGAGTGCTTAGTTTGGTACATTAGCCTGCAGTCGACGCAATCTAACTTGAACATGTCCTTATTGTAACACATACCTCCATCTCTTCTCGGGTTTTGGATATGTGATGCCTCCAGGGTTTGCACATTGTATACAGTGGAGTATTGATGAATTTGAACAGAAGCGTAATACTAGGAGAAGCTTTTGACAGAGGAAGGACAATGTACAAGCTAGGAACTGCGTGTGATGGGTTGAACAGTTGACTTAATGCATAGAATTTTCTACAAAGTACAAAGTCTAATGTGCCGGCTAGGAACTGTCTGATGGGTTGAATAGTTGACTTAAGGGCATATAGGTTAAGTTCCAGTAACATCCATACGGTAAATCATTGCCTGCCTGCTGAATTCTTTGTACAGCCATGGATACCAAACCAAACTCAAAGTTCGTGTTCTCCGTTATTTTAGTGTGTGTATTTCTCGAGTCCCATGTTTCCCTAGCAGCTGACACTATCAGTGAAAACCAATCTCTCTCCGGCGATCAAACCATTGCTTCTGCTGGTGGGATGTTTGAGCTAGGTTTCTTCAAACCAGGTCAGCTTTCAAACTACTATATAGGCATATGGTACTCCAAGCAAGTAGTATCTAAGATGACTGTTGTTTGGGTAGCAAATAGGGAAATACCAGTTTCTGATATATTTTCTTCGGCATTGAGCATCTTAGATGGTAACTTAGTTCTGTTTGACGAGTCCAAAACCCCGGTTTGGTCAACAAATTTAAACTCCACCACCAATTCTGGTTCTGTACAAGCAGTTCTTTTGGACAGCGGAAACCTTGTCCTGAAAGCGGGCTCTAGTAATAATACACTAGAGCCTTTATGGCAAAGCTTTGATCATCCAACTGATACTTTGCTACCAGGAGGTAAATTTGGATTCAACAAAATTACAAATCATTCCCAAATTCTGACTTCATGGAAGAATTTGGAGGATCCTGCACCAGGTCTTTACTCTCTTCACCTAGCCCCAGATGAAGGCGATTCATGTATCTATTTGTGGAATAGGTCTAGACAGTATTGGACCAGCGGACCATGGAATGAAAGTTTGCGTAATTTCAACATGGTTCCTGAATTGAGGCTATTTAATGACTTCAATTATAGTTCTGTTAGGAATGAGAACGAAAGTTATCTCACATATTCTATTAACAATCCTAAAATTGTAACTCGAAGCTTGATGACTGCCTCGGGACAGGTTCAGCAACTAACATGGTTGGAGGCTTCCAAGCAGTGGAATGTGTTTTGGTCTCAACCAAGACAGTGTGATGTTTATGCTTTTTGTGGGGCTTTCTCCAGTTGCAAACCTACATCCTTGAACTACTGCAAATGTTTGAAGGGCTTTGAGCCAAACCGGCAGAGTGATTGGGACTTGCAGATTTATTCTGGTGGATGTTCAAGAAGAACCAGTGTGAAGTGTGGGAATGCTACGGGAGACGGGTTTCTAGAAAAAAATAGCAAGTCCTTGCTTGAAAATAGCCAAAATGAACGCGCTCTTAGTTTTGAAAGTTGTAGATCAGCTTGCTTAAATGAATGCCAGTGCACTGCTTATGTTTATGACAGCAGCAATGGATGTTCAATATGGCATGGAGATGTCTTGAATCTGCAAGAATTTGAAGCAAATGATGGTGATGGAAGAATTTTATACATCAGAGCTGCAGCTTCCGACATTGAGAAAAAACGTAATAAGAGAATGATTATTCATGTCTTACTTGGAGCCGTTAATCTTAATGTTATCCTGATGATCGTTTTCTTCTCTTTGCAGGTGTAATTAAGTTGTCCCCTTTGATTGCAATAGTCTCAACAATCACAGGTTTGCTTGTTGTCATTTTTGGCTATTTCTTATGGAAGAAAACATTGGGAACAAAAAGTAAAGTTGCGGCTGGAGGTGAAATGAATGATGCAGAACTGCCGATCTTTGGTTTAAGGGCTATAATAGCAGCTACAAACAACTTCGCTGAAGCTAATAAACTCGGAGAGGGAGGATTTGGCCCTGTCTACAAGGTGACACTTCCACTGTGTATTCTAAATACTAATACATTTGTCTCCTCATGCACACACCTTGTTTATTTATGACATTTGGATTGAATAATTCCAAGGAGATGAATCACGGGACAAAGTACACATGGGTGTGCAGAAGGAGAAAAAAGGGTGTCTGAAAATAATTTCTCCTTTCATAAACATGACCGTTCTTTTGTACTTCTCTAACAATATTTTCTCTTGAGCGATTTTCTTCCTCTATACAGGGAATTTTGGCTGAAAATCAAGAAGTAGCCATAAAAAGGTTATCAAAAAAGTCAGGCCAAGGACACCAGGAGTTCATGAATGAGTTAAAACTTATTGCCAAGCTCCAGCATACCAATCTCGTTAGGCTCCTGGGTTGCTGTATTGAAGACGAGGAAATGATATTGATCTACGAGTACATGCCCAATCGGAGCTTGGACAAACTTTTGTTTGGTATATACATGCTAATGACTTATTAATTCTTTGTTTCTGCACATTGTTTTCCTTGTGTGCAAATGCCATGTACTGCAAGTTCAAATGCACTGTGTCCAAATATTTTATCTAAAATGAAAAGAAAAACACTTGCTCATCTTTCTTCATGGTTTGTCCAATCAGATGCACCTGAAAAAAGAGAATTAGATTGGGGAAGACGTTTTCGAATTATAGAAGGCATTGCTCAAGGAGTACTTTATATCCACAAGTACTCGAGATTGAAAATCATCCACAGGGACCTAAAAACAAGTAACATATTGTTGGATGGAGTCTTGAACCCCAAAATTTCAGACTTTGGAATGGCAAGGATTTTCGGGATAAATCAGACTGAAGCGAATACCAATAGGGTTGTTGGCACATAGTAAGTCTGCATATATCTGGTACATGTTTTCATTGAAGTAATGTTCTATTGCTTACTTCTCTACATATTGTCAATTCATGTGCAGCGGCTACATGTCACCCGAGTATGCGAGATATGGTCATTTCTCTGAGAAATTAGATGTATTCAGCTTCGGAGTGGTGTTGTTGGAGATTGTCAGCGGAA